TGTGTGTGTGTATGTGTTGGTGTGTGTACAGGTGTGTATGTACATGTAGGCCAGAGATTGTCTTCAAGTGTTTTCCTTGTCACGCTCCACATTATTTTTCAAGACAGGTTCTCTTACTGAACCTGGAGCTCACCAACTTGACTAGGCTGGCTAGCCTACCTGGGATCTGGCCATCTGTACTCCTCAGTGCTGGGATTACAGGCAAGCACTGACACGGCTGGGGACCCAAAGTCAGGACCTTATGCTTACTCACTAAGTGCAAAAACCACTCACCCCACCTCTTGGGAATGTGGGCATCATATTCTTAAAGTTGCTTCCTGCTGTCTGAGGATGATGACATCTTTAGGGGATCCTGAAAAGAAAAATAAAATGAGTTAATTGTCAAGTCCTGGGAGAGGTAGCTGTATCATTTGTTTTCCAGTCTCTGTGTAATGGGAAAGTACAGGGCTTGTCTGTCTTAAGTCCTGGCTAGAGTAGTCTGTGAGGCTGGATCATCTCAGCTAGTCACTTCGAAATTGTTCTGAGCAGTTTTCAGTCCAAAGCCGATCTTTAGTTGGTGTTCAGCTTAACAGTGTTACCACAGGCTTCATGAAATCATTGTGGGATCCCATCATTTTTTTGGAGACTTCAGAGATCACATTACATCATATTATTCCTTTTCTTGATAATTTTTTCTGGGTAGTTCTTCCTTCTCCTCCTCTTCTTCCTCCTCCTCTTCCTCCTCTTCCTCCTCCTCCTCCTCCTTCTCCTTCTCCTTCTCCCTTCTTCTTTGAGACAAGGTTTCTCTGTGATTTTGGAGCCTGTCCTGGAACTCGCTCTTGTAGACCAGGCTGGTCTTGAACTCACAGAGATCCACCTGCCTCTGCCTCCTGAGCGCTGGGATTAAAGGCGTGCCCCACCAACACCCAGCTCTTCCTTTCTTTGCATACTTATTTGTTCAAATGTCTTTAAATTCCTCAAGATGTTTGTTTTTATTTTCCTGAGAAGACAAAAGCAAAACCCTTCCCCAATCCTAATTTTGGGGAGGTTCCTAATCTAATCTTTATCAATTTTGATTTCTCCTGAAGCTTTTCTTTTATCCTCTAAAGCTCTTCTATCACCCAGAGCAGTATGTTTTTTTTTGTTTGTTTGTTTTGTTTTTTGTTTTTTTGGTTTTTTTTACAATAGGCATTGGGTTCTTTAATTGTTCTGGGAAGGAGTTTCCTTTCGAATGACAGGAAACAACTGAACTGAATTTGGCATAGCAGCCTGCAAGAGGCCTCTCGAATTTCCCAATGGCAAATGATTACCTTGAATGTCCCTTGTTGGTCTACATTCATTGGTCAAATGCCTGCCTTTGCCACATCTTCTGCATAATCCAGAAGGGAGGGGAGTTCTGTTTGGATTATGCTTATAAAAAAAATTGTTTCTAGGAACGCCCTATTTACAGTCCCTTTTAAGATGACCTTGTTTGCCACAATTGAAACATTTGCCATTTTGATTTTTTTTCAAACTTCTTGAAATCACCTCTCCTATCAATTCATCATCATGGCCATGGGAGTCAATATTGTTTGTATTTCAAATCCGTTCCTCCAAGGGTGCTGACCTTGCCTTTAAAGGCCTAATTATCCATTTGCATTGAGAATTAGCATTTTCAAAAGCCAGAGATTCAATTATTATTTGTATAGCTTCTGAATTTGACATCATTCTATTTACTGCTGTTGTCAATCTTTGTAAGAAATTCATGAAGGCTTCCTTTGGGTCCTGTATAACTTTAGAAAATGATTTGGTTTTCTTTCCTACTTCTCCAATTCTGTCTCAAGCATTAGATGCTGCTGCTCGACAAAGCCAGGGCATTGTCATCATATAGAGATTGCTTTTTCTATAGTAGCATAATCTTCTTCTCCAAGAAGTTGTTTCTTGGGAGATTTTCATAACTCTAGGTCTACACCATTGTTCAGTGGTCTTAGCTTCTTCTCTGAACCAGGTACTCCTTTGTAATTGTGGACCAGGCTCTAAAATAGCATTAACCAAGTCTATCTAGTCTCTTTAGGGATAATTCTATTACAAACTGACCTTGAGTTTAACATCTGCTTCACAAATGGTAAATGCACACCATATGAGACTATCACTTCCTTAAATCTCCTTAAATCTAACTTGGCACAGGAGCCCAATTAGCTCTTACAGAGACTTTATCATTTGGCAATTTCTGTAGGGTTACTGGATATATTAACATTTGTTGTTTGAAAACCTTAGGCTGGGGGCTGGAGAGATGGCTTAGTGGTTAAGAGCAATGACTGCTCTTCCAGAGGACCTGGGTTCTACTCCCAGCACCCACATGACAGCTCACACCTGTCTGTAACTCCAGTTTCAGAGGATCTGGTATCCTTACACCAATGCACATAAAATAAAAGTTAAATAAAGTTTAAAAAAGAAAAGAAGGGGCTGGAGAGATGGCTCAGAGGTTAAGAGCACTGACTGCTCTTCCAGAGGTCCTGAGTTCAATTCCCAGCAACCACATGGTGGCTCACACCCATCTGTAAGAGATCTGGTGCCCTCTTCTGGTGTGCAGATATACAGGGGAGCAGAATGTTGTATACATAATAAATAAAATCTTTTAAAAAAAAAGAAAAAAGAAAATCATAGGCTGTTCTCCACCCTTATAATGCAATGCTGAAATTGGTTCTCCTTTAAATTCCTCTGTCTGGGTCTGAATATCTCTGTGATCTGTTTTATTAAGGTTTTCTAAAACTTGTATCTTAGCACTCAGCTTAACCAACTTTTTTTAGTGATAAAACAAAAATGATAAAACTGATAATGTTTATAATTGGCATTATCTAAGTCCCATCTATATTAGTTATTCCCTCATTTAATTGTTCCACTTTCAAACTGTCTAGCATATTATCATACAGAGATTTAAATCCCTCCATTATAATAGTGTCTCCTGTTTTAACTAATTCCTTCCTCTAATAGTTCCCAATTGTTTTACCAAATCTGGCAACAGTGTCAGTGAACTGTGAGGCATAGCATGTCTGATCAGAGAACTAGGGTGTGGCTGTGAGCTGAGAGTGGCAGCCTGAGGAGAGAGGGGAAGCCTGCAGCCCATGTGGAGAAGAGAGAGCGAGCCGTGTCTGGGAAAAAAAAACAAAAACAAAAAACAAAACCACATGGGATTGTGTGAAAAAAAACATTATGTGACAGGAGTGGCCAGAAGGCAAAGCCAGTCATTCTAGAGTGGATAAATCCTGTGGTGTTTGGAGCCCAGGTGCTTCTGGAGTTTGGGTGGCAGCTGGAAACTGCTTTAGAGAGGCTACAACAGGAAAACCCCAAACGTACTCAGAGGCTTGGGGAAAAAAAGAAAAGAAAACTTAGCCAGTTGGGCAGTGACTTGACAAAGCCACAAGCAAATTTTGTTTTGTTTTGTTTTGTTTTTTGTTTTTCATGAATTCGTACCTTTACATTGGGTGCCAATATGTAGCATGAATAATAAAAACCCAAAGACAAATATTGGGGTTCAAGTTGAAGATCAGAAAAGCAAAGCAGCCATCCACTACAGAGTTCTTACCTCTACCAAGGCTTGGGGCCAAAAGGGTCAGTCCTATCCTCAGTGTCACTACAGACTGAATACACTGCACTCCTGTCTCCACCGGTCTGGTATACCTCTCTAGTGCTGGGATTAAAGGCGTACATCCACCGCCCCCCAGCTTCTATGGCTAACTAGTGTGGCTGCTGGGATTAAAGGTGTGTACCACCACTGTCTGGCCTGTATGGCTAACTAGTGTGGCTAGCTTTGCACTCTGATCTTCAGGCAAGCTTTGTTAAATTGCAAACAAAATATCACCTCACTTAAAGTTTACTTCTGAGTTTCTTGGCTTTTGGGACCTTCATTCCACTCTGTTGTGACTACCGTGTGGGTGCTGGAAATCAACCTGAGTCCTATAGAAGAGCAGCCAGTGCTCTTAACCTCTGAGCCATCTCTCCAGCCATTAGCAGAATTTTAATGCTTATAGTGCTTATAAAAGGGTCATCTGCCCCTGGTGGGTTTTTGGAGACTGCCTGTCCTGTAAGTGGATGGAGGGTTACTTCCCTGGCCCAAGGAGACTGCCAGGCCAAGAGTTCTCTGAAGGAACTGGGCTCAAGAAAGGGGATAGTGGCAGTTAGCTATTCAGCCAAGAGCTCTGCCCAGGAGCATGGAGCCACTGCTTCCTACATTTTAGATTTATTTTTATTTTATGTGCATGAGTGTTTGCCTGCACACATGTATGTGCACCATGTGTGTGCCTGGTACCCAAAGAGCTCACAAGAGGGTGTTGGATCCCTTGGAACTGGAGTTGCAGTGTTCCCAGCCACCATGAGTTCTGGAAATCTTTTTTACTCTTTTGGCTTTTTGGCAGCCCCACCACCCAGCTTCCAAATAAATCACAGAGGCTTATTCTTAGTTATGTATGCCTGGCTTTGGAGCCTATCCTGGCACTCACTCTGAAGACCAGGCTGGCCTCAAATTTAGAGATCCGCCTGCCTCTGCCTCCCGAGTGCCAGGATTAAAAGTGTGTGCCACTCTTACTCCATGGGTGGCTGGCCCCTGAGTTCTTCCCTTGTTCTCTCCTTGTTCCTCTTTCTTGGCTCTCCTTCTATTTATACTCTCTGCCTGCTAGTCCCAGGTATCCTTGCTCCTGCCTCGCTATTGGCCATTCGGCTCTTTATTAGATCATCAGGTGTTTTAGACAGAGTCACAGCTTCACAGAATTAAACACATGCAACATAAACAAAAGTAACACATCTTAAAATAATATTCCCCAACAAGACTCAAACCTGGCAGATCAAGAACAGATTAACCCCCAAGCCATCTCTCCAGAGTTTCTTGCAGACTTATATTTCGGCCTCCTCAGCTTTCAAGAGGTCCAGAGCCAGAAGAGCAGTGTACAAACCTGCCTATCTCAATCTGTCAAGTGGGTACAATCATCCCTACCCCACCCAGTTCACTGAAGCCAGCAGGACTTCAGAAGTAAACACTCCAGGAATCCATCATAAAAATGAACAGTTTTTATTGGTCTTAGGAGCAGGGTCAAAGGAGAAACGGGGTGAAAGATGGTAGCAAGTGCCCAGGGCACCTGCCTGGAGACCTTTGAGGAAGAGAAGCAAGTGGTGGGCTGGAGGGTCAGCACCTACAAGGAGGAGGCTGTAGCCTCACCTCAGAGAGGCACAATCCCCACCCAGCTTGTTCTAAAGGCCTCACTGAGGTTTCTGTTGAGAATGTGGTTGTGGAACAACTTTGCAAACTGTAAAGTGCAGTGCACAAAATGTGCAAACTAGCTGCCTTTCTGTTAGACAGGCCCGTCTGCATTCTAGGCTATGAAAAAACACTGTTGGAGGCTCAGAGGTTGGTCCCTTGAGCTTTTTCTTCCCTTCAGCTTCCATGGCCTCCACATGGCCTTTGGGGGTGGGTGGGTGGGTGGAAGCATTGTTCTGGAGCTGGCCCCAGTTCCCACTCTGAGCTGAGGTAGAGACCATCAGGGTGCTCTCAGCCTGTAGGTGGCTTTGCTCCCTGGGGTCAGTGGGTGGTTGGATAGAAACACAGTCTTGGTGGCAGGGAAGGCCCTGGCCTGCGGCGTCTTTCTTCTGATTATTGCCTTCCAATATGTTCTTTTGTGCATCTCAGTGAGGGCCGTCCTTCTGTGTCCTGTTTCACTCCTGGGTGAGGAGCAGAATGACCGCTGGTGGGTTCCTCACCATATGTAATGTGGCTACCAGCCAAGGTAGTTTCTGGCACCCACAGACTTAGAGGCCCAGTGTAGCAGAGGTCCTTCCCCTGGGAAAGTTCCAGCTTCAGAAGCAGTGCTGAGAGGAGGACTGTGGGGAGCACTGATGAAGAGGGTTGTGGGGAGCATTAATGGGCCTCAGAGCAATGCCTTAAAGAGGAAGGAAAGAGAGGCTCCGCAGGAGAGTCCCAGGGCCAGGAAGAAGGTCATGAGGGCTCCAGCCACCTCCCTCTCATGTGGTAGCACCTGCCTAGAACACAGAAACAGAAATTTACATAGAGAATGCTAAGCCTGACCTTAGAGACAGCTTCTGGGCCCTCTGCTGTCCTTCTGCACTAGGGTTCTAGTATGGGTCTGACCCCACCCTGTGTCACTATAACCTGGTCTTTCTCTGGACTTCAGTTTCTTTCTCTGTAAAATGAAGTTGCTGAAAAAGAGTATCTCTCTAGACCTTTAGGGTCCAGCTTTACAGGGTTCTAGGTTCCATCACTTTATTTCTCAACAGAATGTCCCAGCTGGTTCTTCCTGTCATGCTTACTCTTCTGGGAGTTCCAACCCTACTGCCCCTGTAGCAAACAGCTGGGCTACCTAGACAGGTAACCTCCCCAGTTCCTAGCCTGGGGTGAGAGCTACAGTGAAGGCCTGTCCCTTAGTATAACACACAGGTCTGAAGACAGCTGCCTATGGTCAGTGGTCTCCCCATGCAGACACTGGTCCTGAGCTAGGTCCTCCCCATCACCAGCACCCAGCCCTTTGCTCCCCAGACCTGGGTGCCAGACACATGGTGAGAGACACCAAGTAGCCGTTGGAAATGGCGAAGAGCAGCATAAATGTGATGAAGTAGGCGTCCTGCCAGAAGATGGTGGGCAGCCGGACTCGCTTGGGCACGTGACAGAGCATGAAGAGGGGCACAAACAGGAAACGCAGGCACACCAGCAGGGGCAGCAGCCGGCTGTCCTCATCTGGCTGTGACAGAGGTGCAGGTGAGTGTGGGCCCCACAGCTAGGTGGGAGGTTTGCCACATGTGTACAGTGCCCTAGGAGCCAGAGGAGGCTGCATCGGGCTCTCTCTAGTCCCTGATCATTTCTTTATAATAAGAGCATTCAGGCCGGGGGTCGGTGGGTGGTGCTCGCCTTTAATCCCAGCACTGGGGAGGCAGAGGCAGGCAGATCTTTGTGAGTTCAAGGCCAGCCTGGCCTACAGAGAGAGAGAGTTCAGAAATCCTTTCCTGAACCCCCCCCTCCCAGAAAAAAAAGAGCATTCAAAATTCTGCCCTCTAGCTTTTGTGAAACACACAGGACATTCAGATTATCTACAGTCACTGTGCCTGGGAGTAAAGGCATGTATTTCTCCAACCTAACTACAACTGGAACACATTGGCCAATTGTCCCAGATGGGATTCCAAGCAAGTGGGAGGCCAGGTCTCTAGGTTTGTTACATTCCCAGGAAGCTTTCATGAAAGGAAACAATGCCCCACTAACAGTAATTCCTTAACTAAGAATCATGGGGACATGGAACCCCGATAGATGTGGTGGTTTCTGCTTTGGAGGAACTCATCCCCAGCCTGGTCTGCCTATTCCAAGGGTCAGTCACTTACTGCCAGTTAGAGGGCTGTTCTAATGTCAGTCGGGGACTAATGAAAGTCACCTTTCTATGTTCCTGTGTACCCTTTGGTTCCCAATTACTTCCTAACCCTTTGGCTGGGTCAGCGCAGATAAGCTCACCCACAGGAAGTAGGAAGTCAGACTCCGGCCCAGCCAATCCATGATGTTGAAGAGCAGGAAGCAGCAGATGGGGTTGAAAAACTGGCCTGGGAGGAAAAAAGTAGATAGTCACCCCTGATCCCCATCTGTCCTCTCCCTGACTCCCTCAACCCCTCTTCAACCCAACACTCACTCCACTTCCCAGGGCTGGTGGAGCTGGTCACCATGGCTGTGATGGCAGGAAAGACCGACAGTGTGACTGTGAAGACCAACACAAGGCACAGCGCCGTCAGCCAGATCTGGGAGCCGGAGGCAGGGGTGTGAGTGGGCAGGGCAGCCCCTTGTCTATCAAGCAGCCCCCAAACCTGCTGCTGCAGCCCTACCCACGGCATCCCCAAGCCACCCTGACCCATTAACATTACAGAGTAAGCACCAAAGCCTAGGACTGGAGAAAATGTCCCTGGGTGGATGGTCAGGAGTTATCTCCTAGCTGAACCCTCCAAAAGACAACGAACCTTCCGGAAAACAACAAAGACTGAAGGTTTTTCTGACTTCTGTGGCCCGTCCAGTTCCAGCTCTGACTCCGGCTCCTTCTCAAGGTCAAGATCCAGAGCTGGGCCTGCCTTCTGGGGGCTAATGGGAATCCCATTCTTCTCATCTAGGGGAGAGGGAAAGCTGGGGATCAGGCCTGTGGCTCAAATTTCCAAAACCAAGGAAATCCTGGCAGAGAAAAATGTGTCTCTTTCCAGCCAAAGTGAAGAAGGGAATTACTAGTGTCAATAGCCTGTTTATTAATTTGGGGACCGACCCATGGTTTCATGGGCTGTTAGACATGTCACTCAATTACATCCCAGCACTTAAATGCTTTTGTTTTGTTTGTTTTTGAAGAGAGGATCTCTTTCCGGCCCAGGCTGGCCTAGAACTCTCTATTACCTAGACCTCTGACTTGGTATTCTGCCTATGAGCCAGGCAATGAGCTAAGCATTTTGGATAGATACTCATTGTCTCTCTGCAAGGAAGAAATGGAGGCTAAGCTGGGCATGGTGGCAAAATGCCTTTAGTCTCAGCACCCAGGAAGCAGAGAGATTTCTGAGTCTGAGGCCATCTTGCCTTACATAGAAAGACCCTGCTACTAAAAATCAACAATAACAACAAAAGGGGAAATGGAAACTAGAACCCTTCACTGATCTGCCCAAGGCTATAGAGACTAGAGATTGTGGGTATAGAGTGCTTTCTGCTGCTTCTCAGTTTTGCTTAAGAGGAAACAGACTCACAGGGTAGCAGGGATGGCTTCCCTTCATGGCCTGCGTCTGCTCACACAAGGCTCAAGGAGATGGAGATGTAGTGGGAACAGAAGGGAACAGTTCCCAGGCGTCTACCTGAACTTGCTCTCTCTCACCTCCCCTGCAAGGTCTTGGGATTTACCAGCTTGGAGGAGCTCAGCTTTGGTCTCTAGCTCCTGAGCTGGGGCCTGGGACAGCTTCTTGGCCAGGTAGTATTGAGCAAACTCCTGCAGAAGGATCAGGAAGTCAGTCCTGCCTGAGGCTTGTCTGCAGCCCCCTCAACCCTCCCACCCTTGGGAGGCTGAGGTCCCTGTGGTGGTTTGAATGAAAATGGCCCCCAAAGGGAATGGCACTATTATGAAGTGTGGCTTTCTTGGAGTAGGCATAGCCTTGTTGGAGGAAGTGTCCCTCTGGACGTAGGCTTTGAGGTCTCCTATGCTCAAGCTATGCCCAGTGTCCCAGTTCACTTCCTTAATGCCTGTGGATCAAGACGTAGAACTCGCAGCTCCTTTTCTAGCACCATGTCTGCCTGTGTGTCGCTATGGATTAAACCTCTGAAAATGCAAGCCACTCCAATTACATGTTTTCCTTTATAAGAGTTGCCATGGTCATGGTGTCTCTTCACAGCAATAGAAATCGTAAGACTGTACCCCAGTCAACACCTCCTTTAGGGGGATCAGCATTATCTGAGGTCTCATCTCTCTCCCTTGGCCTCTCCCAGGGCTTTGTCCAACATCCCCTAAGGTGGGGTTGTCTAGCCCAATGGCAGGCTTACCAGATGGGGCAGGCTAAGGTAACACACGATGGAGAGGAGGATGCCTACACAGGGTGTGATGAAGTACCCGAGGGCAGAGGTCTGGGCATCTACACCACCTGTAACAGAAACTTCAGCTGCAGAGGAGATGCAAGTCCCACAGTCCCACATGGTTTTCTGTAGTGTCACCTGGTCATTTTCCTTTAGTTCAAAGTACAAAAGTCCTGTCCCTTAGTCTCCACCCCCACACCCTGGCATCTTTCTCCCATGGCCCATCTCTTCTTCCCCAGCCCTCCAGCCACCTAGGTGGACTCACTGGCCATGGACATGAGCATAGCAAGGGCAGCGAAGATCCCAGCCAGGCCCTGGCCACTGAGGAAGAGGGTGCTGTAGGTAGAAGGCATGGTACCCAGCTGCCCAAAGAGGCTGCCTTGAAGCACTGCACAGAAGGCTGTGGAGAGACAGGGAGGGACCAATACTCAGGCAGCACTGGAGGCATCTGAGAGCAGGTTTCTATAAGGTGCATGGAAAACTGATCCAGGCTAGGGAGGTGTGGGTTTTCCAGGGCACTTAGGGCAGTCTGCTAGAACATCTCCATCTATTTCTCTCTCTCTCTTTTATTTTTATTTCTTTTTGAGACAGGGTCTCACTATGTAGCCTTTTCTAGCCAGGAAGTCACTATGTAGTCTAGGCTGGTCACAGAGATCTACCTGCCTCTATCTCCCAAGTGCTGGGATAAAGGCGGGCACCATCACACCCAGCCTATTTTTCTTTTGAGATATAACCATTGATCTGTGGGACTTCTGACTAAGAGGCCTGCTCCTAGGTCACTATGGGTCTGAGACAAGTGACTTCCCTCTCTCCGGGATCAGTTTCTTTTGGGGAAGATTTGAGTGACAATGGTATTGTCTTCCTTCAAGGATGTGCTAGGCTGTCCCAGTGCTAGGCTTCCCAAGGAAGAAGTAGGGGAGGGAAAGGCAGATGTACTTACAATTAATGAACCAGACAGATGCCATGGTGATGGAAAAGAACAGCCCGGGGCTCAAGTCCACCTTCACCAATACTGCAGTCAGGACAAACAGCAGTAGTATGGCCAGCAGGCTGCCCAGAATACGTACTACCTCAGGAATGCTGCTCAGAAAGGGGTAGAGGACATCAGATGGCCAGGCAGGGGAAGGTGGGCAGAGGGGCAGGGCTGGAGTGACAATTGGGAGCAGGGAAAAGACTGGAAACAGGAGGTGTTCCTGGCCTCTATGACTGTCCCCACACAGAGGCTGGGTCCAACAACTGGCTCTTACCACTGATACAGGAAGGAGTTGAGGAGTGTGAAGAGCAGTAGGGGCAGCTGGGACAGCAGTGTCACCCAGTTGTTGAAGTTGTAAGTGTCTGTGGAACCAGTGTGGTTGGTGCTCAGAGTCTCAGCTGTGCCATTGGCCCCTGCCAACCGTGCCTGGAAGTACTGCCAGATAGGAGGTAGTATAGAGTCAGGAAACACCTCCTCCTCCCTCCCACACCTGGGTATGATCTCTGGGCCTGTCTTTGCACTGTCCCCAACACCTGGCACACAGGTGGAACAGGATGGGTATGCACTGAATTAGATGGCTGAATTCTGGGACTGAGACCAAGGCCTTGCTACATGACTGGGTCACATCTCCTCTTCAGTGCCCCACTCCGGTCCCCACCCCTACACCAGCAGCAGCCGCTATATTTATTCATCCCATGGGTATTTATTGAACACCTACTGTATGCCAGGCCCCAGCTTAGGTGCTAAGCAACTTTGTCCTCTCCAGCACACATATCCTGCTACTCTTCTGCTTAGCTTCCCCATGGCCTGCGAGGCAGATCTCGTGTTTTAGGACTCTAGATCTTTTCCAAATAGGCCCTTCTTAGCCTGCATTCTGAATTTCCTCCCCGAACCTTTTGCCTGCTCAGTTCCCAATTTACAAATCTCTTCTATGAACCTTTAGTACTCTGTTTCAGGCCGAAATGGAATGACGCGTGTCATATTACATTATTAATAACTCTGGCCCCATGGTTCTCAAGTTCAGTAGCTGATTTATCTTTGGGTATCCAGGGTCCAGCACTGACACAGGCACTCCATGGGTACCTGGAGAGTTGTCCCACTGAATATGTTTGAATAACCTTGTCCCAAAGAAAATGCAAGCTACGCATTTTTGCTTTTCCATAAAAGAATGTACACTTTGGGGAATAGAACCTCCCTCTCATGGGGCGTTGGTGGCGCATGCCTTTAATCCCAGCACCTGGGAGGCAGAGGCAGGCGGATCTCTGTGAGTTCGAGGCCAGCGTGGTCTCCAGAGCAAATGCCAGGATAGGCTCCAAAGCTACACAGAGAAACCCTGTCTCGAAACACAAAAACAAGGGGCTGGAGAGATGGCTCTGAGGTTAAGAGCACTGGCTGCTCTTCCAGAGGTCCTGAGTTCAATTCCCAGCACTCACATGGTGGTTCACAACCATCTGTAATGAGATCTGGTATGCTCTCCTGGCCTGCAGGGATACATGAGGAGAAATGATGTATACATAATAAATAAATCTTAAACAAAAACAAGAACAAAAGATGCCCCTCTCTACGCAATGCCTGGTTCACAGTAGTTGCACACTAAATATTAGTTGAATAAATGTAATTCATGTCATTGCAAAGAAAGCTAAAGGCTTGGAAAATCCACTTTTGGAATGATTGGCCAGAAAGATCAACAAAGAACGTGGGCTGGTAGCTACTTTGCTGGTTAGATCCCTGCATTGATGGCCCTGTCCCTCTGGGATCTGGGTATTCCTAAAAGTTTGCCTAGCTGAGAGGCGGTTCCCTTGTGAGGCTTGGTGCTCCACTGACAGGTGAGAGGTAGAAGGCGTGGTGAGGAAAGCGGCTCAGGAACCGCAGCCCAAGGTGGATGGAAGGATGGAGGCTGTGGCCATGCGGTTGCTCATCGCCCGCGGGTCTCACCGGGATAGCGGTAATGAAGAAGTTCCAGGGGAGGAGGGTGCCCAATCCCAGGATGAAGAAGCTGATCCCGACAAGGTGGTAGCTGTGGGGATCAGTCAGAAGGTCACCCCGAGGACGCACGCCTGGGCCGCCCCTCAGTAGAACGGACTACAACCCCCATCTCCCCCATTCAATCAGCCAAGTGAATCGGCTGATGGGAATTGTAGTCCCGTTGGACTTGGACTCAGGAGTACCCAGACTATGGGGAATTCACAGGCCTATGGCCACCAGTGCCCCGGGAACACCACGTGGGTTCCCACCTCACCTGTCCCGAGGGGAGTCTTCTCGCGCCATGGCTGCCGCTGCCCAGTGCGCCAGGCGGGGCGGCTGCACCTGAGCCTGGGAGGTCAAAGGACAGCGACCCGGGCCGGTCTCCTGGAATCCCAAGGTCGGGGCGCCGTAAGGAGTAGAAGGGTCCTAGGTAGACTATGGCG